ATCGCCTACATAAGAATGAATGGCTTCAAATGTGAATCAACCCCCCTCCACCACCACCAGAAAAAAAATAAATAATATAAACACACACACACACACACTGTACAACAAATGAATGTTGATGATGATGATGATGATTTCATAGAATGAATGAATGAAACCACCAAACAAATAACCAGAAAAAAAACAGCAACAAACAACATGGCCAAAATGAAAAAAAAAAATAAAGTTGAGAAATGAGAAATATGAATATTTTTTTTCAAATATTTATGTCATTATAAATTTCAATGATGATTATGCTGGTGATGATGATGAGAATTGTTCAAATAATTTTGCTCAAGAATAAAAAAGTGAACAAGGGGAATGAAAAAATAGAAATAGTGTCTGTCTGTGTATATTGTGATAAAAGGAATCCTTATTGTTAAATTAGATTTGTTTTGCTTGATTCTATCTTCCATAACAACAACAACAACAAAAAATTAGTTATGATTCCAAGATTCTTTGTTGAACCAAAAAAAAAAAAAAAAAAAAAAGTTTGAAATGAAATACTAAATTCTTTGCGAAAAGTAAAGAAATACGATCATCAGTGGAAAAAAGTTTCTTTTTTTTTGTTGGTGAATTCTTGAAGAAATTTTTTCATTTTGATATGATTTTTTTTTCGCTCCATCAATGAATTAATCATCAATTTTGAATATTTTGGAAACTTTTTGCCCATTTTTGTTTTCTCTCGAATCTCGACTATTGATGATGATGATGATGATGATGAATAATGAGTAGAATTGGTGAATGGAAACGAAATCATTGGTTTTTTTTTCTCACATTGCATGAATGGATAAATGATGATGATTTATAAATCGATTCACAAAACAAGCAAACAAAGAATAAGACCAAAAAAAAGGATTCAATTTCATATGATTCCGCCCCATCATCGTCATCTATATTCCGAATTTTTTTTTTTGGTTTCAATCTAATGAAATGATGATGATGATGATGGAATAATAACCAACCAAAAATTGTCCAAAAATTTTTGTCATTGTTGTTTTGCGATCGGATTGTTTGTTCGTTCGTTATCAGCATGATTTTTGCACCAATAAACAAATCTTTTTGGTTTTTTTTGTTTGGTTTGCGTTTGAATCGAGAATAATGATTTTTTTCTGTCTTTACTCATGATGATGATGACTGATGCATCAATTTGTTTCCTCCAGTTTTTTTTCCAGCCATAAAAATACCAGTTCCTAGGTCAACCAATATATAATGAACATCAACCAACCAACGAATCATTATTAATAATAATAATAATAATCATGTACATCGTGTATATGTAAATTGATTGTGATTGTCAATTTTTCTTTCTTTTTCATTCATTCATTCATTTGACAACAACAGTAGTGTGTGTGTGTGTGTTTTTTCTGAATTTCCAGGGTCGTCGTCGTTGTTGTTTTTTTTTTTCTCATTGGCCAACCCTTTTTTTTCGTTGTTTGTTTGTTTGTTGCGATGCATACTGCATCCGCCATTCTCATCATCATCATCATCATCGTCGTCGTCGTCGTCGTCGTTTTACATCCACCCATGGAACCATCATCATCATCATTGTTTCCGTGAGCGATTCCGACAACAAAAACAAGAAGAAGAAAAAAAAATCCGAAAATCATGTATAGCATGTATTTTTTTTTCTTCTCTTTCTCTCGGGTTGGATGATAAATGATTTTCACTTTCATTTTCATTTTTTTTTGCTTCCCTTTTTCAAATAAATGTCGAACGACGATGAACAACGAAATGACCCTTTTTTCGATTTGGTTTGTTTTTTTTTTTTTTTGGTTGATTCCAACAAAAAACAAAAAAAAAACAACCATCGTCACCATTAATCCAAAAAAATGAGATTAAAATTAATTCATTTTTGTTTCACATGTTACGGTACGGTATTCTTATTCTCGGTATTATGATGCAAATTACCAAGATTTACATAAGGATATTGTAGATGATTATGTAGTGAAGAGAAAAAAAAAATTCATGCATTTCTCATTCATTTTCTATTCTTGGAAAATTCTTCTTTTTTTTATCTTCAAACAAAATATAAATCACAATGTTCGTGTTTAATATCATCATCATCATCAACATCATTGTGTTTTAACATTAAAAAAAAACAACATGATGATGATGAAGATGAATGAAAGAATGTCGAATTATTAGACGGATGGATGAATGGAACAAAAACATCACGAACTTGGATGAAACAAACAAAACAAAACAAAAAACAAATCCAACATTTTTTTTCACCTAAATTGTTGTTTATCACGAATTGAATAATGTTGTAATCAGTGAAAGGTCCACATGAGAAGAAGAAGAAAAACGTTTTTTTTCCGTTTTGTTTTATTTCCCGTCTGGTATCAATGTTCCCCACACAACAACAATGGCAAATATGGAATTCATCTGAAAATCCATAGGTAAAAAAAAAATAAAAATAAAAATAAAAGGAAATTCACAAAGTCAAACAAACAATTTATCATAAATTGATTTTATGTAAATAAATGAGAGAGAGAGAGAGAGAAATTTAATAATAATTAATCGTAATTTGATATGGTCGTCGGTAAGGAAAACCCTCTCTCTCTCTCTCTCTCTGCAATAAAAAAAAATGTATCGATCATTTATCGATATGCATTTTGTTTTCTCATAACCGCGTACAGGTTGTGAGAATGTTAATGACATGTTTTTTTTCTCGGCTTTTGTATAAAAAAAAGTAAAAGTGAAAAACATTTTGCTTGTTTTAACCAAATGTAATTTGATACTGGACAACATTTGTGGGGAAAAAAAAAAATATGTATTTTTATTTTTCTCACATTCATTCATGCAAGGTCATCGATTTGATTTTTTTTTTTTTTCAAATAAAATTTTTCATCTAGGTCTTATGAAGGTTATTTTCCAAAGAGAAAAAAAAAAAGACCTTCTGAATACTAATGTAATCGATGGATGAATTCAATTTTTTTCCAGTAGAAATATCATCATCATCATAATGAATTTCATTCAAATTAAGAGTTTATAAAAGTTTTCCAACAGCTTCAGGGGCATCATTATCAACCATATACATACAGATGAACAAAATATTAGATCATTTAAAGTAATTTGTGCTCGATTGTCTTGATTATCATCATCATCATCATCATCATCAATGGAAGATTGCCTCAATGGTAATGTGTGTGATTGACTTTTTCATTCAATTGATGATCCATGATTCATTTTCTAAAACAGTTTATATTGCAAGGATAATTTGATTTTTTTTTTTTTTTTTTTCATTGCTGCTCTCATTATCATTATTATTTTCAAAATGATTACAGAAAACCTATTTATTCTCATTTAGATTAGAATAATTTTTCTTCTGTGTAGAATATTTGTTGCTGATATCAATGAACAAAAAATCGATCCACCTTTGTTATCCAGGATTTTTGTAGAAAAAAAAAAAAAAAAAAAAAATCAAAACGCACATAGAGAATCATAATATAAACAACATCGATAGAGCGATTATTCAAAATAATGATTTTCAACCATTATATAAATATATATCTAGCCAGTGTTTGTTTGTTTGTTTGAATTTTGTTCTGTTTTTATATATCATCATCATCATATCTATTTTTTTTTGTTGGATGAAAAAAAATGAAAATTTTCATCGTGCCAAATGATGAGGCTATAATGATGATGATGCACACTAATTAACTTTTTTTTTTTTTTTGCTGCTTGACTTGTTCGTGTCACAATTAAACATACACACACATACATGCACAGATAGAATATTCTGAAATGTTTTTCTTTTCCCATGTAATGAATCTAAATGGCTGTACATACCCATAGAATTATAAATCCACATACAACATACACACAGACTATTGAAAATGAACGAATTTATCGATTATTATGGATCATCATCATCATCGTCCTCTTGCAGATGATACGATAATGTTCGATCATCATAAATGGCAATGGAGCCCAAATCAAACATTAATTGAATGAATGAATGAACAAAACACTAAATTCAAAGACTAAAAATATTGAGAAAAATGAAAATAGAAAAAAAATAATCATTACATTACATTATCTTGTATAGAATTTCTCATTTTTTCTCATTTTTTTTTCGTTCGCTTTAGGTTTATCCATTGGATTTTTCTCCATTTGTTTGGATGTTATGTAGCAGCAAAATTAATGTCTGGTTGTTGTTGTTGTTGTTGTTGTTGTTATGCATTATACAGACATTAAATTTAATTCATTTTTAATCTTATCATATATAATAATGATGAACAGAACAGGAAAAAACAAAAAAAACGTACAAACGGTGATTTGAAATTGCTTGAAATGCACTTTTTTTTTTGGGTTTCTTCTTCGTCATGCATATATTGGTCGTTTTCATTCATTCATTCATTCATTTCTGGCTTTTTTTCCATTCAGTTTGTTGATCACAATTGATGTTATATATGTGATTATGATGATGATGTTTAGTTAATCTTTGGAGTTGAGAATTTTTTTTTTTTTTTTTAGTCATATGTGTGTATATGATCGTCGATTATTAACCGCGGTTATAAATGTGATCTCTAAAATTGAACCCATGTGTTTGCATTCATACACTGCTGCCATCTATCAATGGATCCATAGAACTGAGAAACAAGTTGTAAACAAAAAAAAATTATTACGCATTTTCATATAATCTGTGTGTGTGTGTGTTTGTGTGATGAAAACTTGTTTTTTATTTTCATGTCATGTCATTCGATTTTATGTGATCACGTGTTAGTCACCTTGAACAGACAAGGATTTTTATTTTTATTTTTTAATTTTGTTTTTTCATTCAATTTCAACTCTCTCTCTCTCTCTGTCATTCACACATACACAAAGATATACAGTTATACACATAAAATTTATAATAATATTTGTCATTCGACATTCAAAACGATCGTACATCATATTCATAACAACAACAACAACAACAACAACAACACACAACATAAACAAACGCAAAAAAAATGTTACATAAATTTCGATTTCCATCATTCATAATGAATGGAAACTTTTATACCATCATTAAAAATAATAATAATAATCATTTTCAATCGATTAGATTGATGTCGATTGCAAAAAATGTTGATCAAGTATCGCCATCATCATCGGATACAGCATTCAAAATTGAACATGATGTTAAACAACAAAAATTTCGTATAAACTTTGACCCAGGTACGTGTGTACCCGCACAGTTTGTTTGTTTACATTTGTTTAAAATTCTTGTTTTCCATTTTTTTTTGTCTGCAGACAATGAAGCATTCATTAAATATGAACGTCTTGGCAATAATGAAGTATTGTTACACCATACTGAAGTACCGGAACAATTTCGTAGTACTGGTATTGCAAAAAATTTAGCAATGGTAATTATTTGTTGTTGTTGTTTTCACAGTTTCGATTAATTTTTTTTTTTGTTTATCAATTTGCAACAAAAAAAAAAACAACAATAGGAAGCATTCAAACATTTTGATGATACACAACAGAAAATGATCATCACTTGTACATATCTACAAAAAGTGGATAAAAAACGTAAAAATGTTGTTGTCAATTAAACCCGGTGTTAATAGAGATTATTTGTTATTTGTTGCCTAACCACCCACACCACCACCACCCCAGTCCTGCAATGTAATTTGGATTGATTGATACAAAAAAAAAAAAATAAAACATGTGCTTCCAAAATATTTGTGGCCAATATATATATATAGATCAATCAATAATAATAATTCAACTTTAAATGACAGAAAAAAAAAATTCGTTTTGTTGTTTTTCTGAAGCAATAAAAAAAATATTTCCGATCATCGTCAATAGATGGCGCACCATTTCCCATTTTTTTTGATTTTTAAATTTTATATATATTTCTTGAATTGACTGAAATTATTTAAATTTAAAAACAATAACGATGTGCAATTTAATTATAAAAAATTTAAACAAAAAAAAAAAAAAAAAACAAACAAACAACTGCAGTTTATTGCACTTGCATTCGAGTCTTATGATTGATTGGACATTCACCAACATCATTGTGAATGTGTGTGTGTGTGTGTGTGGAAAAATTTTATTTCCACTAAAAAAAATTCATTGGTAATCGACCGACTTTTATCGACTTGTCATCGATTTACATTGTCGTTTTTGTCAAGGAATTTGACCTTTCACCTTGTGTGTGTGTGTGTGTGTGTGTAATGAAACAGGACGTATGTATGTAATAACGGTTTTTTTTCTCGTTTTCGCATACCTTTACATTATCAAGGGGGCAGATGGTTTTTTTTTGCATTTTTTACCACTTGATCGTCGTTTTTGATGATGATGATTGTCGGTTGCAAGAAAGAAAAAAAAAAAAAGAAAAAAAAAACCAAAAATTTTATTGAGTAATACAAATGGATGGATGGATGTGGCCATATGGAAAATTATCGACAAGCATGAATGATAAAATCATTCATTTGATTACGATGGCCATTGGCCATTTCAAATCTGATGTTGAAAAAAAAAAATTTTGTGTGTGTGTGTGTTTTGCCCATTAAATTAATTAGTAAACTTGATGAAGTCGTGTTTTTTTTTCGTTTCTCTTGTCTTTGACAAAACACGGCGTTTTGAAGAGAGTAAAGCAAAAAAAAAAAAAAAACGGGGACATGCAAATTTTTTTTACAAAAATTTTTAATGAAATTTCATTCATAACAGTAAAATTAAAAATTACGGGAGGAGCTTCTGGATACTTTTGATGAAAACGACGACAACGACGATGATGATGATGATGATGATGATTTCAAGTGAAAAAAAAATTTGAAAACGGATTTAAAATTTGAATGAATATACACTATACCCGTATATTTCGATACAACAACAACAACAACAACGGGTGTGTATATTTTGTGTGTGTGTGTGTGGGAGATATTGAGAGATAGAGAGAGAGAGAGAGAGTGAAATGGAAATCCGACTGTTTGAGACCCAATACACACACACACACACACACATTAGACCATTCACTATATATTTGATTATTACATTTGGCATTATTTTCACAAATTCGGTGACAGAAAAAAAAAGAAAAAAGAAGAAGAAGAAAAAATACCCGAAAAAAAAGTATTTTCGAATCTTTTTTTTTTCTCTCTCTCGTAAATGAAATGATGGTGGTGGTGGTGGTGGTGGTGTATGCAACAGAAATAAAAAGATGTCATATTCAATCGGGTCGTCATTTGATGATGATGATGACGATTGTGAATATTAAAAACAAAAAATTCGTTGAATATTTCGCTGTCTGTTTTTTTTTTCTTTTTTAAATTCTGTTTTTGTTTTGTTTTTTGTTTTTATTCATTATGGTCCAAATAAGAAATGAACCGTTCCATCATCATATGGATGTTATGAAAATGTTGTGTGGGTGTCCATTCTTGATTAATTACCATTATCATTATTTGAATGAATGAAAGGTGTTATATATTCCGTAAAATTTGATTTTGATTTTTTTTTTTTTGCTGATTCGCAAAAGTTTTTTCATTCATTCATTCATTCATTCATTCGTTATTCTGGTTTGTAACGCAAATGATAATGATGATTATCATCATGATTCTGTCATAGTAAATATAAATTGGTGATGATGTGTTGCTTTTTCATCATCATCATCATCATCATATTATACATCATCTTTTTTTGTTGTGCCTTGAAATCCTTTTTCCACCACCACCACCACCACCATCACCACCACACACACAATGTATAATTTGAGGGAATAAAAAAAAATTTGTCAAAAGAATCTTCTTGTGTGTACATCATCCAAATCTTTGTTTTGTTTTTTTTTTTTCTCGTTTTGTTTTGTTTTGTTTAATTTTTCTGTTTTCTATTCTCCATATTCTTATTTGACATTTAAATCACATTTATTCATTCGTATGGAATACGACCGTGTGTGTGTGTGTGTGTGTGTATGGCAGAATTTTGCTAATTCTTCATCATCAAATCTTTTCGCAAGAATCATAATTATGTTTTTTTGAGGATCCATAAATGTACTCGATTAGAACATCATGAATACAACAACAACAACAATAACAACAACTGACAACTTTTCAAATATTTCGTTTTGTTGTTGTTGTTGTTGTTATATGATTGAAGAAGTGTGATGTGAAACAAATTTCATTTCATTCAATTTTTTTTGTTTGTTTGTTTGTTTTGTTTCATCATCATCATCATCATCATAATTGTTGTGAATTTTTGCATCCGGAAAAAAATGGAATAGAATATTCTTTCTCAACGTGTGTCTTTGTTTGGACAAATTCAATTTTGCTTTTTATTTTTCTATTACTACATTTAACCTTATCATGTCGAAATAGTAGTGTAGACAAAAATTGATTTCTTTCATGTGTTTTATGTTTGTTATGATATTAATCACTGATCATCAATTATCTTGAACATTTCATCATCATCATCATTGTAACGAAAGTTCCTATTTTCTATATCACACACACACAATTTCATTATTATTATTATGTGCCAATATTTCATCAATTCAAAGTGATAATTTTATTCTCCATCATCATCATCATCATCATCATCATTGGAAACAAAAGGTAAGTTTATCGAGATTTTTTTTTACACTGCATATTTTCCGGTATTTACAATTAATTTATGATTAACGAATAACGTATGACGCCCACGACACACACAGAAATGAATGGAATATGTCAAGCAAACAAACGAACGAAAAAAAAATTGGTACAAATTGATTTCTATACATACATACATGATGATGAAATTTTTTTCTTTCTGTCTGATGCGATCTCTCTCTCTCTCTCTTTTCGATTCTTTAATTTGAAGACAAATTGCTGTTGTGACTATCAACAACAAAGAACCAAAAAAAAAACGAATAACGATGCCAAATGCCGATTCAAGTATCATATTTTTCCATAATAATAATAACGGCTAATTGGCAAATAAAATGAAATAAAGTTTTTTTTGTTGTTTGAATGAAAAACAAAAACAAAATTTCCTTGTGGTTTTCTGATTCGAAAACCGAGAGAGAGAGTTGAATTTTACGAAAAAAATGGGTTTTTCTTTGATTAAAAAAAAAAATATTCTGTCACATTTCCTATATCCGAAAATGTCTTTTTTTGAAGCAATATTTTTCCACTGTATTCAATGTGTACAGTATAGATAGATTATGATTGAGATGATGATGATGTTTGCCAAATTCGATTAAAAATGATTATGATGATGATGATGATGATGATGATGATCCACCAACGCTTTCTTTATATATTTCCATCTTTCCCATTAGCGCGTCATGTATATATATTCATTTCTTTTTGTAATGGTGGATATATAAATGTTTTTGTTTTTTTCAATAATTTTTTTTTGTTTTGTTTTTGTTTCTTTCATTCATATTCTTTTTCAGCAGATGATTGCATGATACTCAGTGATGATGATGATGATGATGATGATGATGATGGGATGATTGAATCAAGAAAAAAAGTACACAATGATGAACAAAACAAAATCTTTGTGAGAAATAAAATAAAAAATGAAAACATATAATACCGTGTACACTCATGTGTGTGTGTGTGTGTGTGAAAGAATATTCTAATCTTTGATAAAAAAATTCTGAAAAAAAACAAACAGAATGATTTGTTCATTGTCAAATTCATTTTTAGTATGGCAAATTTTGCTGGAAAAAAATTTCTTTTTTTTGTTTTGTTTTCGTCTACATTTTTTTTTTATTAAAATCCATGGATGTTGAGATATACAGATCAACCATAATGATAATCAAATGAGTTGGAAATATTTTATCATCACCATCAACATTGAGCGATTTTAATTGATTTTGTTTTTCATTTATTTTGACCAGTATACTGGTGTAAATATGTTTTGAAGGTTATTTTTTGCTGTTTTCCAAAAAAAAAACATCCGTTTGTTGTTAATATGCGGATGCTGCTGCTTGTTGTTTTTTTTTGAAATGACAACCAACGGTTGATTTTTTTTTTATTTCTCATCGGCTGGTCATAACTTTGAACTTTGACCATTAATTATCATCATCAATGATGATGACCTCACGTTTTTGATTCGATTGCTGGTCATTTGGTTGGTTGGTTTTTTTCACTTTTTTTTAGCATTATCGGTCATTCAACGTCTGGTGGTCAAAAGGCAACAACTTGTTTTTTGAATGACTTTTTTTCTTGCCTACCATAGTCATTCAAATATTTGATCATAATCTTTTATTTTCGTAGACAAATTTCTATGTATTTTTCTTGTTTCACTGTTCCTGAATTGATTTTATCATGTGTGTGTTTGTTTGTTTGTTCTAAAGTCTGTATTTGTTTTTTTTCTGAGTGATAATACTTCGTCTTGGAAGAAAAAATTCCCGTTATGTCGTTTTTGACGAGAGTAAGAGAGAGAAATTCATAATTTATCTTTATGCTTGTCGGCAATTAATTTTTCCTTTACTTCATTGAAAGAGTTGAATTGTTACTGGTGTTTCTGTGTGTGTGACAAGGTAATTATAGCATATCTATCATATAGTGAAGCCGTTGTAGGCTGCTAATTAGCATCTTTGACGTAGTTAATCCTTTTGATGATTTCAATACAAAAAAATTTATGTCATCATGCACTATACAAACACACACATTACACAAAAAAAGTGTTTGTTTGTTTGTTTGTTTTAGCCAGATCAATCCATCATACAATGTGAAACATTTTAAAATCATAATTTTAAAAAATTATTTGAATGAATGAATCAAAAACGATTTTTGTTTGATTCATTCATGGCAGAAGAAAAATGACATTTTTTTTCTGCCATTTTTTAAAAAATGGAATCCATTCATAGTCGTTGACGACTTTGTTAATCTAACGTTTTCTTTTTTTTTTTTTTTTTTTTGGTATATTTCCATAATTGATTTGTTGGGCGACAAACGATTATGAT